TTGCCACAGCAGAGCTGCGCACCGTCATCCCCATCGTGTCTTCGTACCTGCGCTCTCCCGTTACATTCGTCGCTTCACAGATGCTTCCTGTCCCCGTTGCCCCTACGTTGCCGCCATCCACCGTATCCGCTGTACCTGCACCTCGTCGTCGACGTTGCTCCTGCCTCGCTATTCCCGTCGGCTTACGTTGCTGCGTCCCGACGTCACAGTCGCACCTGCATGGCTGCGCCCACCTTACCCATCGGTAGATGAGCCCCGCCTTCGAGTCTGCTTTACTGCGCGTCATCGTCCTCGTCACCCCTGGGTAGCTGCGTTCTGCGGTTTATGTCACCCATGCGTTGCTGCGCCCCGGCGTTCCCGTCACCTATGCGCGGCTGCGGCGTTTCGTCGGTGGCGCATCTGCGTAGCTTCGCCCCACCGTCCCTGTGACCTCTCCGTAGGTGCGCACCTCTATCCCCTTCGCCCATGAGTTGCTGAGCCCCGCTGTTTTCGTCGCCCATGTGTAGCTGCGCCCCGACGTCCCTGTCGCGCCTTTAAATTTCCGCCTCACCGCAGCGTCTTTCCTGCGTAGCTGCGCCTCGCCATCCCCTCGCTCATGCGTAGCCGCGCCGCGCCGACACCGTCGCGACGCGTCGCTTCTGCACTTCTGCGCCACGCCGTCCCTGTCACCTCTGCGTAACTAGGCACCGCGGTCCCCGTCGACCCGGCACCGCTGCGCCCCACTGTTCCCTTTGCCCATGCGTAGCTGTAGCCCGCCATCCACTTCGCCCCAGCACTGCTGCAACACGTTGTCCCCACCGCCTGTGCGTAGCTGTGCCCTGTCGTCTCTGCCCCATGCGTAGCTGCGACACGACATCCCAATCGCCGCTGCGTAGCTGCACCCTGCCGTCTTTGTCGACCATGCGTTGTTGCGCACCGTCGCCCCAGCATAGCTGCGCCCACCGTCCCCGTCGCACCTGCACTGGTGCGCCACGCAGTTCCTGTCGCCGTCACCCTTGGCTGCACCCTGCCGATCCTGTCGCCCTTGCTGCATTGCTGCGAATTGCCGTCCCCGCCACCTGTGTTTAGCTGTGCCCCGCCGTCCCCCTCGCAAATTCCTAGCTGTGCCCCGCCCTTCCCCGCCTCAATGCGTATCTGCGCTCCGCCATCTCCATCGCCTCTTCTTAGCTGCGCCCCGCCGTCCGTCGCCTCTGCGTAGGGGCGCCTTGTCGCTCCCGTCACCTCAGCGTATCTGTGCTTTGCCGCCCCCGTCGCCGCCGTGTTCGTCCGCCTTGCCGCCATCGCCACCACCGCTTAGTCGCTCATCGCCGCCCCCGTCAAAAGCTCCACGTATCCGTGTCTCGTCGCCCCTGTAGAGGTTTATTTTTGTCATTTGTCTTTACCTAGCAACGGGGTGTCATGTTAAAAGACCCTGGATAAACAAAGAGAACTCAGGGGCAAGTCGTGGGGACAATCTATGTTGAACTTGTGGCAGTGGCGGAACTGCATTTGTTTTCGTCGGAACGTGTCTTGTTAACTGGGCGAGTACCGAATTGTAGTGGACGTACCTGGTTTTGGAAACGAATTGGATTATATTTTTAGAATAAAAGTACGTTAAGAAGACCATTGAATACGTCATGTGGTGCCGTGTATTAATCGCGCAACTGTTCTTGAACGATGGCCTTGCTTCTCCCTCTCTGACGCAATAAACAGTTGAAGATAAGCGTTCGCCGCGAGCACTGATGACATTCCAAACAAATCTTCTTTGGCGCGCTATAGAAACTATTTTTTGTTGATGACGAGAAGCTCTGTTCATGATTTTCTCGAAAACAAATTTAAAGAAATCACCGAAGTATGCGAAGATCCATCACAGAAGATAACTCTATATGTTGAAGACTGTAAAAATAACACTAAATTCGAAAGAAATATTATACTGTGAGAACAAAATTAAAATTTACCAGGTAAGTTGTCTCGTTTCAGAAAATTGTAATCCGGTAAGGTTTTATTATATTTTGAATAAGTAAATTTAATTAAATACACAAAATATGTCTAAATAAAGCTTGGTAAACGCGTGTATTGTCTTAGGTCGGGAAAAATTGAAATATTAACATTACATAGATTAGAATTAGCTACCAAAATTCATGAGTATTATGAGGAGGAATAGTTTAATAAACTTGTGGCCAATTAAAGACAGAAAGAGGAATGAGAAAGAAAATATAAGCAGAGATAGACGAACGAGAAAATATCAGGTTAGCTGAACCATAAAAGAAATTAGAATTGTCAATTAAATATAAAGTAGGAGAATTAGTTGAAGGCAAATTAAAGCATCCATTAGACAAGATGAAAATGAGCTGTATAATCTGAAGCAGAACAATATCTTTGTTCTGGTCAGCAAGCCTCGAGCAGTGGAGACACACTGTCAAGTGATATTCCGAAGCCAGCAGAGCATTCCTCCTGGTGGGATTTGATTTCCAGTGGAATCCCCGTGCTCATGCCAGCGTTGCCAGATTATTTTTCATGTAAATCGTTATTTTTAACAAATTAAGGGAAAGGCGTGATTTGTTTGGAAAAAGCGGGACAATTTTTTTAAAAAAAATATATAGTAATATTTTAATTGTAAGAATCGAAACAGATACATTTATACAGATTTCACCCACAAACAACGTAATCAGTAGATTATCAAATATCAGCAGCTGATATTTTATAGGTATTTTTGGACTCATACGCTACTACTTAGCGTACAAGTACTTAGATAACGTACTTGTCTTTGAGAAATAGTCTGTGAAATTGCTTGTAGCGTGAAAGCTTACGATCATGTGAGAGATAGTTTTCTAGTTCATTACGATGTCATTTAGTCCACCATGAGAAATCTCCACTTTATCATTACTGCAGACATCTCTTAATTTAGTTTGATAGAATAATATTAATCTACATACATAAATAATGTAGTTTTGCCTGTAATTTCTAAATAACAGCCTCTTTCTAATCGCTTAAGCAGATTTACATGATTTAAAAAATCCAATAATTTTTACGCTCTTAATTCTCTTTATTTTCAAATTCTTATTTTCTTTTTTGCAAGAATTTTGTTATTTATTATACAAATCTATAGCTTTATTTCGATCTCAATAACCAGTTTGTTCACGTGACCCTTAAAACAAGAGAAAAGTCACGTCTGCGTAATATTTAGTAATGAGTCGACTTACGGAGTGATAAAGAATTTCTTGTACTAGTTAATTTCATTTTTTCTTGTGTCTCGCTCTGGTTGTAGGGATCCAGTTCATCAAATATACACAAAATTGCACACACAGATGCCTTTCAGACCAAGGGGTTATGGAAATAGCTACGGATCCGGGTTTTCCAAGGTTTTGCAAGGCCTCAAGGATCAAAACTAAATCAAAACCTTTATTATTGTTGCTGGTCGTATTTACGGTACTCGGGTCTCCACATCTGACTTCCAAGTATTGTTGATCTCAGCACTCGCGCTTCATATCAGGCCGTACCACGCATAACGCAATGAAACACATTGAGATGATTTTGAATTTCGAAATTTACTGAAAAAAAATGCCTTACATCTAAACTTAACTTATTTTTACATTAAAGGGTGGGAGGTGTTAACCCCAGCAGGACGCGACCGCTAGGTGCACAATGTTCTCACCAGACATGAATGGAAGGAAGGGACATACACTGTTGTCTAATAACCTTTCGCGGTCCACAATAAATGGCACTTCGGGCCGCCAGTTCGGCAACCCTAGTATAAATATAATACACAAGGAAGTGGAACGTTCCCAACGCCACGAACACAACTTAAAACATTCATGCCTTACGGAGATTGGGATTCCGCAATATTGGTGTCCATGTTCTTGGGCGCACCTTCCTTAACAACTCACTCCTTCTCAAGCAACCCCCTCAAGCACTCAAGTCCCACGAAGTCGAATCAATTGCCCGTTTGTAAAAGTGTTATGTTTATGCATAATAATAATAATAATTTGATAAAATTAATAATACAACTAAAAATACCTTTTTTATGCATTTGAGGTCTTTAAAATGTTTTGAAGTACTGAATTACGTATTGTATTGACTTCGATATCATTTTCTTCCACAGCAACAATGCAAGCAAAGGTACTTTATGTAAAATATTCTTGGTGACCTTTCGGTTTTAAATATTGCAAATGTTGTCCAATCATTTATTTCATGGAGGTTTTATATTATAAAGATTAACATTGATGCATGTGTATTGAGTTTCATTCTCGACGTTTAGAGCTTGTGGGTTCACTCATCTTCACGAGATCTATAAAGATACATTGCATTTTTTAACACTTATTAGCATGTAATTGTATAATAATAATTACTAAATAAAATCTCATGAGTTTAAATTTTTCTATATTCACTACAATAATTTTACACAAAGTTACTTTAGTGTTAAAATCTATTTCATTGCTCTCAGTAATGAATTTTCTACAAATTATTTAAATAAGAAGAATCAGAAAATGGTGAACATTATACTGATAGCACGCATCAATTTCCTGAATGGTTCGGTTTACTTTCAACATTTACACTGAGTAAATTGTTTTATAAAAACGTACAATTATTCACACTGTCTCACTTTTTCGATACGAAGAATATCATAGAAAGGTATAACATTATATACATATCAAATTCACCTAATTGATACGTGCTATCAGTACAATGTTCACTGTTTTCTGATTCTTCTTATTCTCTTATACACTGAAGAGCTAAAAATTTGGTACAGCCGTGCGTATTGAAATAAAGAGATCTGGAGCTAATCAGAAAACGGCGCCCCGGTCGGCAACGACTAAAAAACATCCAGTCTTGCACAGATGTTAGATGCAGCTACTGCAGCTACAATGGCAGGTGATCACGGTTTAAGTGAGTTTGAACGTAGTGTTATAGTCGGTGCAAGAGAGGTGGAGCATAGCATCTCCAAAGTCACGATGAAATTTGGATTTTAACGTACGACCATTTCACAAGTGGACCGTGAACATCGGGAATTCGGTAAAATATCAAACCTCCGACATCACTGCGACCGCGAAAAGATCGTGCAAGAACGGGACCGACAACGACGACTGAGGAGAATCATTACATGAGACAGAAGTGCAACCCTTCCGCAAATTGCTGCAGATTTCAATGCTGGGCCATCAACAAATATCAGCGTGTGAACCATTCAACGAGACATTATCCATTTGGGGCCGCGGAGTCGAAGGCCCACTCGTGTAAGCTTCATGACTGCACGACACAAAACTTTACGCCTCATCTAGACATGTCAACAGCAACTGTTGATGACTGGAAACACGTTGCCTGGTCTAACGAGTCTCGTTCCGCATTGTTTCGAGCGGATGGACGTGTACGAGTATGGCGACAACCTCATGAATACATGGAGCCTGCATGTCAACAGGGGACTGTTCAAGCTGGTGAAGGCTCTGTGATGGCATTGAGTTGGAGTGATGTGGGACCCATAATACGCCTAGATACGACTCTTGACACGTACGTAAGGTTTCCCTTCGCCCTTTCACCAACCCGCACCCATTCACGTCTATTGTGCATCCCGACGGACTTGGGCAATTCCAGCAGGACAATGCAGCATTCTACACGTCCAGAATTTCTACCGAGTGACTCCAGGAACACTCCTATGAATATAAACACTTACACTGGCCACCATGTCCCCAGACATGAACATTATTGAGCATACCTGAGATGCCTTGCAAACGTGCTGTTCAGGAGAGATCTCAACTCCCCTCGTACTCTTACGGGTTTATGGACGATCCGTCAGGATTCATGGTGTCAATTACCTCCAGAACTACTTCAGACATAAGTCGAGTCCATGCCATATCGTGTTGCGGTACTTCTGCGTGCTCGCGGGGGCCCTACACGATATTAGGCTGCTGTTCCACTTTTTTTGGGTTTTCGGTGTATATATTCATTGAAAATTTTGAGAAAAATGCCATTTGAACTTTTCAAAAATACGCACTTTTGAGCTTATTTTTACAAAAAACTTATGAGTTTTCAAAAAACCTAATATTTTGCAAAAAATGTGTAGATATGCATTTACTGCGTTAATCCACTGTAAATTGCCTGCTCTTCGTTTCAAAGAATACTATATAAGACACTTGTGACAATGTTCTAATGAAAACGGGAGGGTTACTTGAACTAACACCGCACAACCAACTGCTGCGTAGTTGTTCTTCTCAAATAAGGTTACGATCACGTGATATTTCAACGACGTCACTTCACCCACGCGGGACAGATCAAAGTAACAATTCAGTCCACATTTCTGCAGGTGTATGACGTTTCTGCATTAATGGCCTACAAATGCAAATTTCTTCAATAGCCTATTTACCTTTTTCACACAATTTAGCTGTTTCATTTAGCAGTTACGTCATTACGCCATTGAATGAGCAATATATTTTAAAACTCGAATCAACAAGGACACATCACTTAGTAACCTCCTAACATTGTTACAAAACACATGAATTTGCATATCACACTTACAATCACATTTTACGTCAACAATTCACTTCTTTTCTTGTAAATATATTACATAAATTAACATATCATGCTCAAAAATTTTTAATGTTTTCTGAGAGTCTTCTTGTTAACATCCTTTGTCGTTATATCAGCTATCATCCAAGACATCTATAAAGAAAAATGTATTTTAAAGTGATTCATCACGATTTCCCCATTTTCAGCATCATCTTTTCCAAGTTACATTTTCTCGTAATTTGCTTGTTCTTCTCTGTGATTTTAAAATAAATCGATCAATCTAAAATTTACTATCCGTGTTTATCATAATCGGTCATTCTGCATATGTTATGAAATCCCAAATGTTATATAAGAGACATGATCCATCTTCTTTCACACACTCCAATTCCTCCGCTGACAACGCCACTACTTTTTGCTTTATCCTCTTCCAACTAATTAACGAATTTCGTATTTTTATCACGTATCCGGCATACGACTTACTATCCCTAATCGTGCACCAATTTGCATCCAAATAAATACCTAAAGGTACAGAATTTCTGAATTCTCAGTTTATTGCCCTTAGGAAGGCAATTAAAGTTCTATGGTTTATACCTAACCATCAAATTCACAGAGAACTCCAAATCGATACCGTTCTAGATCATATAAAAAGTGGCTAATAATTTCTATTCCTCCCTCGTCTCCTCTCATTCTGATCATTAATTCCATCTAGGCCGAACAGCAAGGCGAATCAAATCCAAATTTCTCAAAGATAAGGTTAAACCGCCCTAAGCTAATAATTTCACACAGAATCTTTCCCTTTTCCCTTCCTATTGCCCGACAGTGCAATCCTAACCGTTTATCTCCAAAAATCAAAATTGAAATTCAATAGCATCTAAAACATAATGTAATCAACCGAAGCAAATTAATCTCAATTTTACAAGGAATGCCCAAATCCTAATAAAGTATGTAAAACTAAAATCCCTCGAAAGACGTCAGGTCGAACGAGAACAAATAAATTTTCAAAAGGATCATTATTTTTCGCACCTTTAAGCATATGAGTACTCTTTCGATCCCTTGTAAATCTATTAATTTTGGGATCCATTAAAAATTGTGATAGTTTACTATAAGAATATGAAATATTTGGCCATGTAGCTTTTACCATGTATTCTTAACATCCCAACAACATGATTAAGGAGTTCAACCTCTTGATATTTGTTATTGTCAACTTTTTCACACTCTTCATCATCCACTTTATTTCAACGCTTCCTGGTGTAACAACATATTGAGAATATTTCCAACAAGTCTTCCGCATTTTTTTCTTGATCCCAAACTACACATACTATTCTCGTTCCTAAAAATGAATTATTTCCGTTTCCATCGATTCCTTTCCTTGTTCCTTCTAGAGTGAAATAAGTTTGTTAATATCTGCATTCTCACCAACAATGATACAATCTGCATGCAAGTCACAACTAAATGAACACTATTTCTTTCAATTACAAATACATACTAGACACATTCACATGATTTCAATCCATATTTATTTAATATGCTGAATATTTTCACCAACACCGACCCGCTTCAGGTAAGCCATATAATCCTTTATTCAATTTAATTATTCTGTTTACTTTTATTTCTATACCATTTATATTTTAACATGTATTATACAATCTAATTTGCTGTTTAAATACGTAGTTTCGACATCCATACATTGTAATATATAGTCATCCACCGCGGCCATGGGAAGGAGTGAATTATATTATAATTAATTCAGTGCAATCACAGCATGTTCCTTTCTTGTGTTTGTATGAATTCCTAACTTTCTATCATATACTCGTTATTTTAATTTATCACTAAAATTGTTGTCAAGAAATAATTTTTATATCAACCTTAGACTTTCTGTTACCCATTTATTGTTATTTCCCCTTTTGTTCCAAAATTTTTTTTCGTAATCCAACTTCCCACAAACAAAACAATTTCGTAACTTTTCTAGGTTTATATACTGTAACTTTTTTTGTCGAATTCAAGTGAATAAACATTCTTTGGCAGCGAACTCAGCTTTCACTCAATACCTCGAAAATCATATTAGGAGTCGCATATAATGCTGAAGGGACTTCACTGTAATTGTTAGATGAACCAACTATATCACTCTGATATTTCCTCTTCAATCTTTGAACCTAACTTCACGATATCAAACTCTAATCCTCTTGTTCTTGTTAAACATTTGCTTCTTTTTTTAATTTTCTAATTTTTTCTTTCCAGTTTTATTGTTAACATTAGTCTAGGTTTTTCCATACGGGCGTGCCTTTGTTTCAAGGTATACCACAGCCCCTTCACAGTTCTAATCCCTGTATTCGTTAACATCTGTTACTCCGATAATATCAAAATAATAAATTCCATAATTTCGTCATTTTTGCATGACAGTAACTCCATTTTACTTACTTACTTTATCGTCTTCAATAATCTTCGGTTCTTCCTTTTGGACGACGAAGACGATGGGTAGTTATCTTGTGAATGTTTTGGTTTACTCAGCATACTCATTCTTAAACTCCTTACACTATAATTATCGTTCGACATAACCTCAATTCTCCCGAATGTCGATTTCGATGTCTCTTATGCCATTTTAATTTTCGGTTCTTGTTCAACCATTCTCTGCTATAGGATTGTAATACCAAGAGACGTTGATCAAGTTAGCAGTATTACATCTGAATGCCAACATAAATTTTATACTCGAATCAACAAGGATTCGTCACTTAGTAACCTCCTAACAATGGTACAAAAACATATAATTATGTATCAAACTAAACAGACCATTTTACGGCAATATGTAACGATAGTAGTAGCAACAGAGATCGTAGTGATATTACTCATGCAACTTTTCTTGAACGATGGATAGAAGAAATGCGGGTAGAATGGGGGGGGGTATTATTTACGGAATCGGCCACTATATTTTATAAAGCAATGCCAATCTCTGGAGATCAGTCATGCCTTCGCAACGTTCTCAATAATTTGCGTTCTAACTTTTTAAGGAGTTAGAGGTATCTCCTGTGATAGATCTTTATCTGCTTCGGCCGTTTCTTTAGTTTTTTGGAGAAAATAACGGATAGATGTTCTCGTTTTCAAAAGAAAATTGTTTCAATTTTTCGCCAGTGAAGATGTGTTTGGAATGTTGTCATCAATGCTCGCTGCGAGCTTTCACCTTCATCTGTTTATTGGACCAGAGAGGGGGAAAGGAAGGTTATCGTTCAAGGAAAGTTGCGCGAGTAATAGTATGTCAAGCAGGAGCGGGGTCAGTGCGAGGACGAAGGGAAGGAGCGAGGTGGCCTTACGCACTGCGGGGGAGGGCACGTCGGGGAAACACTGAAGAGATAATTTATTCGTTTTACTATTTAATAGACGAATGAAGTGACTAACATTCAAGTAAAAGGGGATTCTTCTGACGGTCCTATGTCTTATGTACTCCCTATAAGCATTATTTTATTGGAATTCCATCCTCGCCTTGCCTATTCATTCAAATAAGCATTTTGGGTGAAACATGACGTACTTCACAGGAAATGCATACTTTCATTTACGATTAACACACAATGTAGTAATAATATTGAGAAGACAACTTGCAACAAACTGTATATAACTCTCTCAACCTTTTATCAAACGACATCAAAAGCATGAAAACGCTACAGGAGATTCAATATCAACAGACATATGGTTTCAGATAAAAGAAAATTACGTTGAAAAGTGACACCAGCTCCTTCTGTGTATTAAATAGAGAAAGCGATGACAGTTGGGTATACAAAACTAATGTCACTAGTTTACAATTGCGTTTCCCTCAATTCTCTTAATTCCAATTACGCATTCAGTCAAAGCAAAATAACTTTGACAGAATTTTAAAAATAAAAACACAATTTCTCACCAACTTAAGGGAAGCGAATCCAACCTTCGTAACTTCTTGCTTCATGTCGCACTGTATAGTGGTGTACATCTCAACCGGGAAGGTATTTCATTTAAGCAACACGAGTTGGAACTGAGCGAGGTCACAGCGCTACAATTTCTACGGCTGTACTGTACCGTACGGAATCTTCATCATCTACATTATTTTTGGGTAAATCGGAAGTTGGTGGTGTCCTGCTGCTCTTCACGGGAAAAAAATTGTTCACTAGTAAGGTGTCGGCTCGTTCACGCCCGCGGAATTTGACACTTCGATACGCGTGTACAAGTTGACAACGAGGCTCGGGCCTTCGTCCCTCGCGTTAAGATAAAATAACCTCTCGTCTGTCCAACGCATAAATACCGGAATGCTTATGCTTCGCTACGCGTGCCCAAGCTGAGGACGAGGCTCGGGCCTTCCGCTCTATCGATAACATAAAAAATCCTTGAGTGGCTGAAATATAGTATATGGTACAACTTGGAGAGAGTCACCGGCACTTTGCGCCGCTCCGGCGAGGGGGGAATCCACGGTGGTTGGGACAAGGGGTCCGTAATTGGTCACGAACGTGAAGGCATAAGGTAGGGGAAGCAATTTCACCCTTGTATTTTTTTCGCTCTATTACGAAATAGCGCTACCATCATGGCGGTGTGGTGTGATAAACAAAGCCGGTAGTTTTCTTTCTTTACAATGTGTTTGCAACTGCGCAGTTTAAATTCAGGAGGCTTTCTTGTAAAGTGCTTTTTTATTAAAGTGAATTAGTAACTATGCGGTGGGTAGACTCTAGGATGTTTATAGTGAACGCGAGGGCCGAAGGCCCGAGCCTCGCCGTGACTTGGATCCGGAGTGCAAAGCGAGAAAACTTGCCTTTGAAAGTAATTTGGCATTACAATGCGGTGGGCACAAAGCGCATAAGGCGAGCCATGAAAATCACCTATCCGTAAGTTTTATTCATTGTTGTCGAAGTGCGTAGCGCAATTTGAGGGAGGGGTTAAGGAGACTCCCCTTCTCTTCTGCCACCCCCCCCCCGCCGCTAAGCTACTCTAAGGATGTACCGTGTACCCTTCTTTAACTGATTGAGTCTGTCCAACCCATAATTATCAAACCATTTAATGAGAATACTCCCCTATACACAACACTTAGAAAGTATGAACCTTAATAACCATAAAAACTCGTAATTCTACGTCAAAATGTCAAATAGAAAGTATGAGCCATTCTAAAACACTAGCAATAAACAATGAAACGACGATGGCGACAAGGAACCAATGGATCGAAACGAACCGTGACATCGCCATGAACCAACGAGGACGTCAAGGAACCAAAGGCACAGGGACACCGCAGACTTCCGATCAATCTATTTTTGATTTAAAATACTTCCAATGCAGACGAACATGTGGAATTTTGCTTTTTATTTGCTTCATTTGTACGTTTGGATGAAAAAACGGCACGTTTCGACACGTTGCCCATGTGAGATTCGTGATATGATCAACACGAAAAACTACATCTTGTGACTTATGATGACCATTACTTGACTGAATCACTTGTTTAAACCAACATTATGAAATTCACCTTCAAAAGGAATGTAAACGAACATATTGCTTCGGTGTTCCTTCAAGGTCTGATACCGCCCCGCTGACGCGTTGTAGTGCAACTTCTACTTCACAATGCAGCTCCGAACTACAAGGTCACAAACGTTTTAAATAAAAAAAATGTTTATGCACCAAGGGCCTTATAAGGCTTCTAAAGATCGAACGACGACAAAAAGCTCGAGGGTATTTGGCACGAGGCCTTTTTGACACCGCTCTATCATTAGAACCCGTTAATGCTCGTGGTACATACAATATTTTATTTTTTATCTCATTTTAATGATTCAGATTTACTAATTTATTAATAAACTACATGTTAACTTGGCCCTTTTTGCATACTTTCCTCCATTAGATTATAAGTAGCATCATTCAATTGTTTTCATATTTCCCTCGTAACCACGATCCTCTCGATCCAGGTTCGTAATGCAGTGTATAACGAGTTCTGTGTCGAAGGCAATAGCAAGCAATAACATATTAGTAAAAAATTAACATTTTTTCTCCCCGTTCCTGTATATTTATGGGGAATATAAAATGGTCACGGTTGGTTTTCAACATTACGTAGTAAACATGTGCAGCAGCTCGTTAGTGTTCGAATCCCCAGATGCCGCTTTTAGATAATGAAACGCGTCAAACTAAATACACAAAATACATAAATATGTTATGTAATGGTATCAAAAATGCGTATCTTAAATGGCAATGATTTGTTCATCTGGAAATGAGTGGCACGACCCTGAACCTCGAGATCCAACTAAGAAACAGAGCTGAAAATTTGAGCGAATAAATATTGGACAAATTGTGATTCGAAAACTGATTTTTTTTGCATAGTTAAAAAACTAGTTTCTAGCTAGAACAGAAAAATAATTATAAGAAAAAGAAGCACCTATATAAATTCTTGGCAAATATCATCAGGTTGAAACATTAGTATTATTAATGAAATCTGATTCTTACCTTTTCGAGAGGTTTTGTAGCCTCCAACCATTTTCACATACATGAACTTCAAGTCTAGCACCTAATTTTCCCAGTGATCCAATCCCACTCACAAGTCTGCCTCTGTTTACAATGCACGTACTAACTTCAAGATGGCCTTCGGCGAACTGAAATGCCTTAGCATTGCCACCTTCCAAAAACGTAATACCAGTTGTGACCGCGGGTTCCAAATCAGTCTCTCGCATGGAATGAGGTTCGTTCAACAATATTTTTAAAGTTGTTTGTCTAGTTTCTGATTCTCTATAAAGACTATTATTGTTTTGTTTATAAGTCTGGAAAAACGTAGATTGCACTTCTCAATTCCCAAAATTCTCAAAGAATTATATTTAGATTTAGATTTATTCAATCAAAAAACAGTAAAAACTGTTTGTGACGTATGGGGGAAAATATTATCTGCGCACGTTTTCTTGAGCTCCACAATCCCTTCCTGTCATTTTAACTATAAATAGTTGAAAGGTGAATAACTGTTTAACATAAATAAATTAAATAAATAAACACACGAACACTTGGAGTCGCTTCACGAATTCCAAGTATGATTTTTCTGCATTCCTAACAAAATAGCAACTCACCCTTACCTCTACTCTTACCATTACAAGCAAAAGGAGAGTTAAACAAAACGTGCGCATAGTGAAGCAACATTTACATCCAGAAGCATAACAAGGGGCCATCTCAGCATTTGCTCAATGAATCAGGAAAACTGGACAAAACCCTGATCGAGATGGGGCTCATTGACTCGGAAGCTGAAGTACATTATTTTTTAAAAACATATTAAGTCTTTTTAAAAAAAGTATACGATACAAATGTAAACTATTTCATTATATATCAGTTTTGTTAAAATAAACATTTTTTTTCATCAGTATAGTCTCTAATTGTATAGAAACAGTTATGCAACAGAAAATATTTTACTTTTAACTTAAATTTGTGAACCGACTTTAATTGTTTAATGTGATCTGGCAGTGCGTTGTATAGTAACGTACATGTATTGTATGTGGATTTCTGATAGTAAGCTGTTGCTACTAACACTTAATGAACGTGATGTTAACGACGTGTGTTGTAATTATTAATATCAGTATTGCATGAAAATGTGTTCCCGCCGTTAAGTAAGTCACTTTTGACAAATATTACAGTTGGTAAATATATAGGCAAGGCAGTAGTAAGATTCCAAGCTCAATGAAGAGAGGCTTGCAAGGATAACGTGGATGGCATTTTTTTCATTTTCGAATAATTTTCTTTTGCAATCTAAAGGTCTGAGTACTACATGATATCTGAGTACTTCAGATATTACCTCGGGCTTCGTGGTAGGAAGATAAAGAATAAGTAGAAAAGTTTTAAAAAAGTATTGTGATACAACAATTACAGAGAAGTGGTACAACAATTACGATTATGTGCCATGTGACGTCCTAGATTTGTGAGCCTTTAAACCTCTTGCAGCAGCAAGGGTAAGTAAGGGTTCGGCCTTGGATTTTCGAATGGCAAAAAATCCACACTGGCCTTGTACTTGGGAGCATGTAAAGGTATCCTGGCTTAACTATCCGGCAAACTAATATCTTCTAACAATTCCCGTCCTAATCGGGTCCTATATTCACTAGCCGGTTAAACTCCTCATGTAATGTGAGAATGTTTCCGAGACCGTCGTCATTGTTGCGATCCCTGACTAAATATGGGAGTCAAAATTCACGGACATCGCTGAGAGTCTCTGGACGATTCATAAAACATTTGGGGCTATGTCAACTCATGTCCCGAATATGCCGAAATATAAATCTCCAACCGTGGATCCACATTACAAACAACAAATGTTGAAAGTAGTTGATGAATGAATCTTCAGAATGAATAATGTAAATGTGAAGTAAAATACTTCATAAGAAAATATTTTTACTTACCAATGCAAGGCCCAGTCACGTTTTGTATCATAAATATACTTCGACCCGGTCCTTCTAAAAATTGTGCAACAAAATTAAATATTCGTATTTGTTAATTACTACGCTACAATTTATATTCGGAATAAACTTCAACATTTCAACAAACATAATACGTAATATTTTTTCATTAATCATTCAACAATGAAATAAATTCATTCACAATAGTTTTCAAGCGTGATACGGGGAAACTAGAAAGCTGCGGCAAGATAAAAGGGCAGTCGAAGACTTTCCTCCAGTTTCAGCTAAATTGATAAAATGTCGTGGATTTTCAGTGCTAGAGACCGCCTGAACGTTAAAAAATTAAAGTTACTATGTGAATTTTGTAGGAAATTTTATCTACTTCAATTTTGTGTATATTGGTATTTCCTTGCGAAGCCGACGTATTGCGGGGTGGCAAACCTAAAATTCATTCTGCCCCCAAAAAACATTCTAGGACCAGTGAGAAAAAACTTACAAACTTTTTTTCCTGGGCCGGATATCATTGGAGTGTACTAATAAAATCATAAAATGTGAACAGTCAAAAATCAATGTACCCAAAGTAAGACTGAAGTCCACAATCCTTTGAAACAAAGCTGTTAGAATCAGCACTGGATAACTATCTTCAGAGGTCCTAAGCATGATCAAATTATGATCCTTCCCAATAATATTGAAATATTGAACATACGTAATGAAAATCAATATGTAAATAAACCTAGAGCCTCTCAATTTACATATTTAATATGCAAATAACAAATATAATTTAATATATTTATGTGAATTTTAAAATAACTTCATATACTATTTTGCCTGTCAATTTTTCTTCAAAAATTCATTATCAATTTTTTCTGAATTCAATTAATTAATTTGTGTGGTTATGTACCAATTATTGTGTACCAATAATAAATAAGTTAGTGATAGTTCACAAAAGTTCACGTATACATAAATCAATAAACAATATTATTGAAAAAGTTATTGAGGGTTCACTATCCTGCAGGGGCCCTAGGTGCATGTATTGTCTGCATGTGTATAAATTCTCCCGGTTAGAATTCTCCAGCTGTAGAAATCTAGCTCTCAGATAATACGTATTTCAATATTGAGTGATCTTTTTCAGTAACCGGTATTTTCAAATTCTAATAAATAATCCTAAATAAATTCCAGATTACCTCCAGAGTGACAATGATCATTTTGATTTAACAAGTGTCAGGTGGAGTATATTTCATAGTTTTTAACAAAAAGATAACGATAGAAAATTCCTCAATATTTCATAGACATCAGCAGTACTTCAGTGTGTTCTGTAAAAGTTCATAAAGATGAAAACTAAGAATTAATTGCAAATATTTTGTTAAGAATGTTTTTTTATCATTGTAGAATATGACTAAATGTTTGTTCCTACAATACTAAATACATAATTACAATTAACAAATATTTGGTGTATATACTATGGTTCTTGAAATAAATGAATTTTAATTTACATTCATTTGATCTTTTGATGTATGAAATCAAAGAGAGACAAAACACTATTTTAAATGTAAAAAAATTATATAAATGTTAATGTGATTCTATACTCAATTTAATAATGCATTCCATTTGATGTAATGGGTTACTGAATGAAAAATTAATATAAAACTTTACAAGAAAATGTACCTGTCCTTCTGAAATGTATATGATATTTTCATACAAAACATACATTTTTTATGAAAAATAATTGAATAAGTTAGAATCATAGAGTACCTATGATTTACACGCCAAAGTTATTTTGAAAATGGGTTTAATATTGTGCATGATATTAAGAGAATATGAACAAATAGTATCAGACCTTTCCTTAAAATTTTATTACATCATTCTTATTATTAATATTGGTTAAGACATATCTAACCATTTTGTATGTGTATATGTGATCAAGATTAGTGTCATGACGTTTGTTTCTGACTAGTCCCCAAATACATGAAGAGATTGCATGCTTAAAGGTCGTCCTTAATTATATGACGTAGATTGGTCTAAATGTCAGTATCCTATTGATTCACCACTAGCACAACTCTACTTACCTTGTCTTCTCTAAAACATAAATCTCTCCTTGAAATTTAGGAAAAAGAAATACTTCAGAAAAATAGTGACACTCAAACAACAACACATTCTCTTTTACATTCACAGATATTATCCCAGTTCATTCTTTCAACAAACATTTTCATTCAATGCTAATAGTAGGAGTTGACTCATTATTAAGGCTGCACTGTGCAACATTGAAACTAAACAAGATAATGTATAAATATTTTTGAGATATTTTACAAGCCTTTGACACAATTTTGAAAGTTTATCACAGTAAAATATACGTTTTGTGGTAAGGGCAAAAAACGATTGTAGGGATCATTCCTAAATAACATGAAATGATTATTGAATGTAGAAATTTCTGGATTTTTCAAATCATCTTCCACCGGGTGATGCTGGAATCACGGTCTAAAACTAAACGTAATGCAAATATTTGATTTTCTCTATTCTTTTTAAGCAAATTTTGTTTGATATAAAAAATATATAATGATTCATGTAAGTGAAATAGAGGCTCAATTTCCAGTCGTCAGTTGAATACAAAAATTGCCATGTCTTGTACTCCCAAACAAAGTAATTAGCACATGGGAAGCAAGTACGCCAGTTTCAAAATAAAAACAGGCCATACTCACAAATTTTGCAATATTGAAATGTTTTATTTTGTATTATAGCAGACTGTGAACTCCAAAAAAGTCCCACAAAAGACTCCCAAAACACAGAATAGTATTCCAGCAAGATCCAGCACTAGTGCATCCCCAAATGAAAATATAAATATAAATCCATAAAAAATTTGAGCCATTTGCATTCAATCAGTAAATCAACTCAATCATCTAAGGCACATGTTATGTAGAAAAATACTGCTGGCACGGCTACCTTGAAAAAAAAAAATCCAAACTGACATTAGAAACTAATGTTTGAAAATCAATTTAAAAAAAAAGTGTATGCCTATTCAGAAAAATTTAAAATCCACAAAACTATTAAAAAACTCCTTGAGAAAATTCAACATAATTAAAATCATAAATAAATTACTACTAATATTGTTTTATCTCAAAATCTAATACTTTGTTTTCACAAGAAAACCTTCAGAGAATATCGCAAATAAGCTATCAAATTTCAAGCAATGATCTTCACTTCAATTTCATATAACTCTTAACAATTGAAGAAATGAGATGAATAACATAATTCCAATAATCCAATTGCACCTTCTATGTTCAATAATGGAAATTTTGTGAGTTCTCTTTACATCAGAAAAAGTGCTGTACAAAAACAGTCACAAAATCTGTATTATATGTGACCTAC